CACTTATCATACACTTATCACACACTTATCACACACTTATCAGACACTTCAGATGGACTTACGACGCCGAAGACAGTGTGTTTTAGGAAGCCCGTAAGGAAAGGTTTGCAGCTAAGTGTGGTGTGGTGTGGTGTGGTGAGCTGTGGTGTGGTGTGTGGTGTGGTGTGGTGAGCTGTGGTGTGGTGGTGTGGTGTGTGGTGTGGTGTGGTGTGGTGTGGGGTGGTGTGGTGTGGTGTGGTGGGGTGGGGTGTGGTGTGGGGTGGTGTGGTGAGCTGTGGTGTGGTGTGGTGTGGTGTGGTAGCTTAAGTGAGACAGTTAGATACGTTAATGTACGGAATAAGGCAAACAGAGTATTGGGTTTTATATCTAGAAGTGTAAGTAATAAGAGTGCAGAGGTCTTATTGCAACTATATCTTGCGCTAGTCAGGCCGCACCTCCATTATGTGGTTCAGTTCTGGTGCCCCTATTATAGAATGGATATCAATTCACTAGAGTCGGTGCAGCGAAGAATGACGAAAATGATTCTGGGACTTAGAAACCTTCCATATCAGGATAGGTTAAAGAAACTTAACTTACATTCCCTAGAAAGACGAAGAGTGCGGGGAGATATGATAGAAGTATTTAAGTGGGTGAAAGGAATCAATAAAGGCGATAAAGATAAAGTTCTTATAATATCCCAGCAGGATAGGACTCGGAACAACGGATTTAAGTTGGATAAGTTTAGGTTTAAGGAGGGAATAGGAAGAAACTGGAGATAGGGTGGTGGACGAGTGGAACAAGCTTAGCAACTTTGTAGTAAGTGCTGGAACGCTGGAAAGTTTTAAAAGGAGGCTAGATAGGGTGGTGGACGAGTGGAACAAGCTTAGCAACTTTGTAGTAAGTGCTGGAACGCTGGAAAGTTTCAAAAGGAGGCTAGATAGGACGGTGGGCGAGTGGAACAAGCTTAGCAACTTTGCAGTAAGTGCTGGAACGCTGGATAGTTTTAAAAGGAGGCTAGATAGATTCATGGATGATAGAGAGTGGTAGTAACTCTCGACAGGAGCTGCCATGAACAGACCAACCGGCCTATTGCAGACTCCTTATGTTCTTATGTTCTCACGTCACCAGTTAGGAGGAGGAATACCTAACCAAACCCAACCAAACCTAACCCCCGTAGTTAATGTTATCTTATCTATGTCTGGCATCACTGATAACACTAAAAGCAAGATGATGATAGTGTGTGTGTGTGTGTGTGTGTGTGTGTGTGTGTGTGTGTGTGTGTGGACACTAGGGGGTAATCTTTCATAACAAAAACTTTGGTATTTTCTGAAGATAAATTTACTCTGATGCTAAACTAACCTAACACTAACCTAAACTAATCTTAACCTAGCCTAACTTAATACCAACCTTCCCTAATCTTAACCTAGCTTAACTTAATACTAACCTTACCTAATCTTAATCTAGCTTAACCTAACACTAACCTAAACTAACCAATTCTGTTTATATCAGACATGGAGATGGACACTAGGCGAGCGGTTTTCTTGGCCACGGTGAGTAATCCAGCTGTATTATGAATCCTAACAACTATAACACATCAAACTGGTAACAATATGGCCTAGAATATGCCCTGAGACTCTACCCTATACTAGATTATCTTGTTATCTTAAGCTAATGTGGCTAAATGTGTGTTTTAGTGAATAATTATTGTCTATTGGCCTGCCATCTTTGTGTGGTAGCTTAAGTGAGACAGTTAGATACGTTCTCACATCACCAGTTAGGAGGAAAACTTAACCTAGGAACCTTTGAGAATCCATCTTTGTGTGGTAGCTTAAGTGAGTCAGTTAGATACGTTCTCACATCACCAGTTAGGAGGAAAACTTAACGTAGGAACCTTTGAGAATCCATCTTTGTGTGGTAGCTTAAGTGAGACAGTTAGATACGTTCTCACATCACAAGTTAGGAGGAAAACTTAACATAGGAACCTTTGAGAATCCATCTTTGTGTGGTAGCTTAAGTGAGACAGTTAGATACGTTCTCACATCACCAGTTAGGAGGAAAACTTAACATAGGAACCTTTGAGAATCCATCTTTGTGTGGTAGCTTAAGTGAGTCAGTTAGATACGTTCTCACATCACCAGTTAGGAGGAAAACTTAACGTAGGAACCTTTGAGAATCCATCTTTGTGTGGTAGCTTAAGTGAGACAGTTAGATACGTTCTCACATCACCAGTTAAGAGGAAAACTTAACGTAGGAACCTTTGAGAATCCATCTTTGTGTGGTAAAACCCATTGAGACGATTGGAGATGCGTTCTCACATCACCAGTTAGGAGAAAAACTTAACGTAGGAACGTACGAGAATCCACCATCTTTGTGTGGTAACCAAAGTAGAGACAGTTGAATACGTTCTCCATCACCAGTTAGGAGGAAAACTTAACGTAGGAACCTTTGAGAATCCATCTTTGTGTGGTAGCTTAAGTGAGTCAGTTAGATACGTTCTCCCATCACCAGTTAGGAGGAAAACTTAACGTAGGAACCTTTGAGAATCCATCTTTGTGTGGTAGCTTAAGTGAGTCAGTTCGATACGTTCTCCCATCCCCAGTTAGGAGGAAAACTTAACGTAGGAACCTTTGAGAATCCATCTTTGTGTGGTAGCTTAAGTGAGTCAGTTAGATACGTTCTCCCATCACCAGTTTGGAGGAAAACTTAACGTAGGAACCTTTGAGAATCCATCTTTGTGTGGTAGCTTAAGTGGGACCGTTGAATACGTTCTCATCACACCAGTTAGAGAAAACTTAACGTAGGAACCTTTGAGAATCCGTCTTTGTGTGGTGGCTTAAGTGAGTCAGTTAGATACGTTCTCCACATCACCAGTTGGAGAAAACTTAACGTAAGACCTTTGAGAATCCATCTTTTGTGTAGTAGCTTAAGTGAGACAGTTAGATACGTTCTCATCGCAGTTAGGAGGAAAACTTAACGTATTAGGAACTGACACGAGAATCCATCTTTGGCCAACGGTAGCTTAAGTGAGTCAGTTAGATACATTCTCACATCACCAGTTAGGAGGAAAATTGAACTTAGGAACCTTTGAGAATCCATCTTTGTGTGGTAGCTTAAGTGAGTCAGTTAGATACGTTCTCACATCACCAGTTAGGAGGAAAACTTAACAGTGTGTCAGTGGGTACAGAATATTATTTCCGTGTGTATGAGTATATAAGATATTAATAGTCTCTCTCATCAGGTGGCATTTCTCGTCAGCTCTATCGTCCTAATGTGTGTATTAATCCATGACTCAATCAACACAGTACCCATCCGTTATCATCTGCTAGATGGATTTAGGGCGGATTATCTGATAGAACATCACACCTTGCAGTCCATTGGGATAGAGGTGAAGGCAATTACATGAAGCCATCCTACCCAACCTTGACCTTTCAAAACCACTATACTATTGTCACGGTGGCTTTGCAGGCACCTTCTAACCTAACCAACTAACCTAAATTTAACCTAACTTAACCTGAATTAAACATATTAACTCATGTTTGTTTATTTTCATCAGCTGTTCATTGTTTACATTTATCAGCTGTTGTTTACACTCACTAACAGTTTGTTTGTTCAAGGACTGTATCCAGCGGCTCATGGTATTACAATATCCTTTTACATCCAGTTTACAAAGATAAATTTTCAATGGGACAAAAGACGGCAAATGGTGGGGTGGTGAGCCCATCTGGAACACTGTAACAAGCCAGGTCAGTTAATAGGTCAGGTCATGTTAAGAGAGAGTCAGGTCAGGTTACAGTAATATGGGAATTGTGTTACATAAGGTCAGGTCATGTTCAGAGTCAGGTTACAGGAATGTGTTATCTAAGGTCAAGTCATGTTCAGAGAGAGGTCAGGTTACAGGAATGTGTTATCTAAGGTCAAGGTCATGTTCAGAGAGGTCAGGTGCAGGAATGTGTTATCTAAGGTCAAGTCATGTTCAGAGGTCAGTTACAGGAATGTGTTATCAAGGTCAGGTCATGTTCAGAGGTCAGGTTACAGGAATGTATTATCTAAGGTCAAGTCATGTTCAGAGGTCAGGTTACAGGAATGTGTTATCTAGGTCAGGTCATGTTCGAGAGAGTCAGGTTACAGGAATGTGTTATCTAAGGTCAAGTCATGTTCAGAGATCAGGTTACAGAATGTGTTATCAAGGTCAAGTCATGTTCAGAGAGAGGTCAGGTTACAGAATGTGTTATCTAAGGTCAAGTCATGTTCAGAGAGTCAGGTTACAGGAATGTGTTATCTAAGGTCAGGTCATGTTCAGAGGTCAGGTTACAGGAATGTGTTATCTAAGGTCAAGTCATGTTCAGAGGTCCAGGTTACAGAATGTGTTATCAAGGTCAAGTCATGTTCAGAGAGGTCAGGTTACAGGGATGTGTTATCTAGGTCAGATCACTGAGAGAGAGGTCAGGTTACAGAATGTGTTATCTAAGGTCAAGTCATGTTCAGAGAGGTCAGGTTACAGAATGTGTTATCTAGGTCAGTCATGTTCAGAGAGAGGTCAGGTTACAGGAATGTGTTATCTAAAGCAAGATGTTCAGAGAGAGGTCAGGTTACATGAATGTTTATCTAGGTCAAGTCATGTTCAGAGAGAGGTCAGGTTACAGAGATGTGTTATCTAATCAAGTCATGTTCAGAGGTCAGTTACAGATGTATCTAAGGTCAAGTCATGTTCAGAGGAGTCAGGTTACAGGAATGTGTTATCTAAGGTCAAGTCATGTTCAGAGAGAGAAGGTTACAGGAATGTGTTATCTAAGGTCAAGTCATGTTCAGAGAGAGGTCAGGTTACAGGAATGTGTTATCTAAGGTCAAGTCATGTTCAGAGAGAGGTCAGGTTACATGAATGTGTTATCTAAGGTCAAGTCATGTTCAGAGAGAGGTCAGGTTACAGGAATGTGTTATCTAAGGTCAAGTCATAGTAATAATAATAATAATAATCAACTCACCAGGGTAAGATCAGTGCAACATACTTCTGCCGGGATCAGATGCCAACATTGTGGGATACATCCGTCGTATTGGTACCCTATAATGGCAGTATTCCCTACACTGACCGCGTCGACAAGGTGAGGTAGAGAGGGATGTTCTCTGCTTAGGTTATAAGCTTTGTTGGTGTACTTGTATATTGCACAAATAACCATAATTGTTGATACACTGGTCCCGGCACATGGAGGTCAACAGATGATGTGTTTATAATAGTAACGTCACCGAGCTGTGGATTGTGGGTTAAACAAGTGCTTGGTGAACTATCCTTACTGTCTCTTATCCTGTACCACTGACCTGATCTTTGCTGCCCGCCAGATAAGGAAAAGTGCAGAGAACAGCGTCGTGACCCGTATATGGCTTTCATCGACCTAACCAAAGCCTTCGACTCGGTCAACAAGGAAGCTCTGTGGACCTCAGCGGCTTTGTGCCCACTAAATTCATCGCCATTGTGAGGCAACTCCACAATGGCACCCAGTCTGAGTTGTTCCCCATCCAAACGGGGGTTAAAACAAGGTGTACTGGCACCAACTCTCTTTTCAATTTTCTTGGCTGCCTTCCTTACTCGTTGCCAATTTAGCCAGCGGGTGGACATCCAGTACCGGGTGAAGGGTCTTTTCAACATTAGACGACTCCAGGCAGGAACAAAGGTGTCGGCAGCTTCCATTACTGAACTTCAGTATGCAGACGACCTCACCCTTGTCACTCACTCTGAACACGACCCAGGAGATCCTGAACACCTACGCAGATGCTTATGCACACTCGGCCTTGAGGCGAATGTACGTAAGACTCAGATTCTCTTTCAACCTGCCCTGGTTCAGCCACACACCCACCACCCACCCAGCTTAACAGTACTACCTCTCTAGTGTTACCCACTTCCAGTATCTCGGCTCCCACCTGTCCACCACCGCGGTCATCGATGAAGAGATTCAGCATCAGATCACATGTGCATCTCAAGCCTTTGGCAGACTCTGTACCCGTGTCTTCAGCTGTAGGGAGCTGAAATTATCTACAAA